TCAAAGATGTCTTATCAGACAATCTCTCATGTCCATCGTTGTCGTTGAGTTTCATCTTATATTATATTCTCAGCAAAATTTCTAAAGTCGATATTTCCATATTGATTTTAAATTGTTTATGATTATCAATTACAGGATCCTTAGGAGATATACCATTAGTTAATTCATGTGGTTCATAAGTGAAATTGCTTTCTGTTTTTCCAGGACAATATATAATCTCGTGAAGTCACCTGCTTATTGGCTCTCCATATTGCTGATAACAGTTTTAGTTGCTCCCCCTGTTTATTTTCAAAGTTTTCCATTAGATTTTCTGGCCTTCTGACATCCAGATAGCTAGAGAAGCTGAAATATTGAGAAAAAAAACATCGATATTTTTTGTCAAAGGCAGATTAGGATTCAAGCTGACGTGTTCCTATATGGTGGGCATCTATCTGCACAAGTTTGTTTTTATGTGCCATGTCATTAGCATTCAGGCATAAAAAAATCATCTTTAAGTCCAACCTTTTTTCCCTGTAAGTTTGTGTTGCAAGATAATGATACGAAATTGACATTAGTCCAAACATATTCTCATTTTACAGGCAAAATTTAAGAGTTGAATCATTTACTCCAAAAATAATGGTCTAATAGTTCATAATGCATGCTTAAATCCTGTTAATTCTCATTTTGGCCAAAAACATATGCTTCCTGAAGCATGAAGTTTCCTGAAGTAGTTTAGCTTTCTTTAATAGGCTTTAGCATGAAATATAATAGGCTTTAGCTAGCTATTTATTTATTTTTGTCATCCACCAGAAGCATGAAGTTTCCTGAAGTAATTATTGGTATGTGGCGCAAAGCAAACAGACTAGAGAGTGCATCAAGTATTCAAGTGCCAATTAGTAGGGAGAAAGAGAGTATCTTCGTTGAAATTGAGGAACAAAGTATTCAATTGTGATAAAAACATTGTATTTGGTGATACTTTTTGTAGCTATATAAATAGGCATGTAGGTTTATTAAACAAACCCGCTCGACTCTTAATATTTGAGTTAGACTTTGCTCCATTGATAAATGAACCGAGGGAGAATTCATTTAACTATTTATTTATTTAACGAGCCGAGTTAGAATCATTAAGACTTTAGAAACATAATTTAGTACCAATTTCATTAACAAAACTCCTCATATAGTATATATCAACCACTACAAAAAAAATTGTTATATTCAAACAGAAAATCCTATGGTAGTATAATCCACTGTAAATTCCAACGAATATTTCGATGGTATAACTTCCGTTGGAATGGTTCCAGCGGAAATTCCAACAGAAATAGTCCGTTGAAATGTATTTTTCATTGGAATTTTAGATGGAATTTGATGATTCCAACTTCCAACGGCTACATTTCCAACGACTTTTACTGTTGAAATTTTTATTTCCACCCCGTTGGAATCATCAAGATCCAACAGAAATTCTAATGGAATATTTTTGTTGGAATTTCCGTTACATTTTGAGAGAGAAAGCTCGCCGTTTTTTTTTTGTAAGGCCTCCCGCTGCAAGATAGTCGTTTGTAAGTATAGATGTTCTCGCCACTTCTGTCCAATCCTTTAATCTTCATCTTATGCTTGGTTAAATTAATTTGTTGTAATGGTATACTTCAACAATTATATCATGCAGAACCAACACAATTATGTCGAGCCTTACCGTAAATTTGTTGGAGACCAATCAAAGTAAATTCATGATCCATCTGAAAGCTTTAAGGATAGGCACGGAAATGCAATGTGGACAGAAAGGTTCGACTTGAATACAAAAGATGATAATGGTCGACAAGGATGTAAGTATATATTTTAATTTCGACAGTAAATTTTTTGTTCCATGTGTCAACCCTATTGAATTTTCATGTGGACATTGCACCTAGATGTATAATAACATTTTATCTTTTGAGATTGCCGAATATTATATCGTTATAACAACGTAGTTTTTTAAATACATATGCATTTTGCATTAGTCATATGCATTTGCCACATAGACTAATTATTTTCTATAGTTTTTCATCCAATAATTTCTTTTATTGTTAGTAATTGGCCCCCATAAAGGCACAACGCAACAGAAGATTATCAAAGCAGTACCAGTGTGTATTCAAAAGTGCGTGTATGTTTTGATAGATAACCATATTAAGGAGCCCTCATGTTTTATTAGTTTAGTATGATACGAATATTTATATTTGAGTTTTTACTCTAACTTGATGTAAAAAAATTAAAACAATTAATAACTAATTACAAAATTTAAAGCATGAGATAAAGAATTATGATTAACGATTTATTTTATTCATTTTTATTTGTACAGGGACTCCAAATTGGAGTAATAATGTTCAATCACACTTTTGCAAAAATGAATAAAGAAATATATCTTAGAAGGTTCAACAAAACCTCTCTAATATCTTGTCGCTGAAGATATAAGACACAATATTTCCTATAATTTCACAAAGTTTGATAACATCAATGTAAAAAATGATGCGAATGAGAAAATTGGCATGTATGTTGTACCATATGCAAAAATTAGATTCCAATGAACTTCACTCTATTAGTAAAATTACATTTATATTTTTCTCCAGACATATGTGGGAAGCTAAGGAATCGAGGACTGCGGCAAAAGCAACCGGAACAAAATCAACCATAAGAGAGAACCATTATGAACAAAGAGTACATATTTTCTTTCTTTACAAATTTACAATGTCTTACTAAATATTAATAATAAACTGTATACTTGTAAACACATATATAATAGAGAAACTTCCATAAATATGCTCCAACATACAATATTTATAATTTACAAATAATTAAATTGATTCTATGTGTAGGTATTGATCCATTGCAACCTCTTTATGGGATGGCATGGCTCAAAATGAATGATCTAACATACACAATATTGTAGAAGAGCCATTAATTGCAATTAACAATTTGATATCAGTATCACCAAAGATCTATAACGGTAACATAAAAAACTATTACATAAATAATACTTCAATTTTTATAATGCCTTAATTATGTTTGTAGATAATCGTGCATATAACTTAGCTCTTATAATGTTCGCATTTATTTGGTTAGGCCAATTGCAATTGCAAACTAGTGCAACATCTGTTGTTCTTCAGATAAACACATCGTATGAGGAAGACAACCATATGTGTATAAGGTATCCTCTAAATTCTTGATATGATATAAAAAAACTATCACACTTTACTTAACAATAATATTACCTCTTACTTTTTTGTATTTTCTTAGGTTACAAACACATGAAAGACTTGTGGAAATAATTGAAATGTCAATGGCACGAAGAAAGAAGGATTTGGATAGTACCACCTTGCAACAAATTTACTACAATCGTACCGACATAATCGCTGTCAGAACCGTGACTTTTGCTCATTTCTCTTTTGCTCCAATATCTTCCTTTTGTTTTTCAGCCTTTTTTGTGTTTCTCTTGCCATTGGTTCTTTTCTCCTGACAAGAATGACATCAACAAGATGTGTAAAATGTGCAACGATGTTGTAAAAACAACTCCAAGGTAATAATAATTAAAAAAAAAAGTTCAGATCTTATATTTTATAAACTACTATTTGCAGATATAGGTTGGTAATAAATGTCGTAGAAGCGAACCTCAATGGCACTATCACACTTTTTGAAGATGTCGAAATGGTTTACGTGGAGTGTTCTATTGCAAACTACATAGATCCATTCAGCAGGTAAATAAATTTTTCAATTTGTAACTCAAATTCATCTTCAAATACTCAATTCTTAACTCAAAATTCGTTCCATATTCAATAGGGAGATGAATCATTACTATCGAGGATTGAGCTTGCAATCAACCACTAAATTTCAATTTCTCATCCAAATAATGGTAAGTTCTACAACCCAAGAGGAGAGATGAATCATTACTATCGAGAATTGAGCTTGCAATCAACAACTGAATTTCAATTTCTCATTCAAATAATGGTAAGTCCTACAACCCAAGAGGAGAGATGAATGTGGTTGTCGAAGCAAAATTGCAACCTACCAATGATGATGAAACGAAAGAAAGGTCAAAATCTCCCAAATGTCCAAGTCACATGCAAAAGAATCAAGGGGCGTAAAAACAAAAAGCAGGTTCAAAAAAGAAAACGCATCGCCGACAAGAAAAGGAAGACGACAATGATAATGTCATTGAAATTGAAGATAATGAAACAATCAGTCGTCTTAAAAGAAAATGTGTGCGGAAAAATTCAAAAGGAAAAGGAAAGAAATCAACCTCTTCGATCATCAACTGAAGAAAGAGAAGACTTGAAGATCATACTTATTTATCTATATTATTTAAATTTAAGAACATTCTTTAGTTACTTTTTACATTTAAGAACA